TCAAGAAACCGTTCTTATTATCAATTTTTGAAGCAGTTGTGCTGCTTAATATTTATATGACGCAACATAATGTCTTTCACTTTTAATGAGGTTAATGTGTCTTGGTGTGCTTAATAAAAGTATATTAAAAATTGGATTTAATTGGAATGGTAATGTATTTATGGACCTCTTATTATATTCTACACAGAGCTTTATTTATTACAATAGATTTAGCGGAGGACACAGAGTGAACTGTGTAAACATAACGGTTATTATAGTTGTTAACATTAACTTTCTCATCTCATTTGCAAAAAAAACAAAACATTTTTTTTAAAAATTCAGTATTCCTAAAAATAGCGTTAAATGTTAACAAAAATATATGTTTGTATTTAATCTCATGTCTTTGTTTCTGACCTTTAATGATCCAATTTAACCCTACGATTAAGGAAAATTAATATTAGGTAAACACCTCATTTGTTTAATATTTTTGTTTTTATGTTGAATGTTAAAATTTCTTCTCCTGTGTCTTGTTCATCTGCAATCCAGAATGGCAGCACAGTTGAAAGGTTTGTTTGAGCTGTGCCCTCTGCCAGAAATGGGCAGTATTTTAATCCCATGTTGGCTATTTGAAATATGTATTTAATTACTTTTGAGTATTTTGTAATTTGTATTTTTCTTAACAAAAATAAATTCAATGTAATTTGTAATTAAATATTTAGAGAGTCTGTAATTTGTATTTTAAATTCTTAAAATACTTATTTAAATATATAATTTTATTTCACATTAACTTCCAATCCATAGGTGTATAGGTGTGTGAAATTCTTCTTTCAGACGAATACAATCGGAGTTATATAAAAAATGTCCTGGCTCTGCCAAGCTTTATAATGGCAGTGAATGGCCACTTAAGTTTTGAAGTCCATCAAAGCACATCTATCCATCATAAAAGTGCATCTATACATCATAAAAGTGTTCCACATGGCTCTGGCGGGTTAATAAAGGCCTTCTGAAGTGAAGCAATGCATTCGTGTAAGAAAAATATCCATATTTAAAACTATCGGTTAAAATAGCTAGCTCTAGCTTTCGGCAGACGGCCGTACGCATCGATTTACGACGAAAGAGTAACACTTGACCCGACGCATGATGTAATGACGAACGCGGAAGCACGTTCGGATAGAGCAAAAGAAAACACCAGACGCGAATTAGAAGTCTAAAACGACAATTTGACGGAGGAACTTGAGTTTGTTGCCCAGCCCTGTTTGTTAATGCTTACGCGACTTGTGTGGGCCGCCTGCCGGAAGCTAGTTATTTTAGTCGGTAAAGTTTTAACTGGTGCGTCAAACTAACAATTACTGTGTGTACCTCTAAATCATTGTTTTGTTTTGCATTAAAACAAGTGAAATCATTTTTAACAATACAATTTTTTTACATTTATGTAGCACTGTTTTTGGTACTCAAAGCCCTTAATATACGTAGAAGGGTAGAATCTCCTCAACCCCCAGCAAAGTGCAGCATCCACCTGGATGATGTGACGGCAGCCATATTGAGCCAGAAATATTTGTTTCCACTTAATTTAGGTATGCAAACTTTTCTCTGATTTTTAGTGTGATATAGAGCCTATTTTTGGGTTTCGTCCTCTCGGATTATTTTAAGAAAGATTCAGTCTTATGCCCCTGACAAACAACACAATTTTAGCCCTGATTGTCCGCTCGTCAACAGTTAGGGGAGATAGCTGACAAAAAGCCAAATTTAGAGGCAAATCGGTTGTCAACTTGTCGTTCACGTAAGAGATGATCGCTATGTTTGAATTATCAAAGACGTAATCTGAGAGAACCACCATTGTGTTGCCGATGCCCGAGAGATATTTAGCAGGTTAAAGTCCGGTGGTAAATGTGTTTTGACTGGAACTGATATCAACGACGACAGACAGTTGTGTAGTGTGAAAAAAACAGCAATTCTGAAAGTTTATGAACGGCGATAGGATTATCCTACTAAATGAAAAGTGTTCAGTTTTTGTGAAGCCATGGTTTTGTTTTAAGTGTTCAGGTTTTGATTTGGCATTAAAAACTTTCTTACCGCCAAACATCTCATCATTCTTCAGTGGTCAGAGCTTAGACAGACAGACAGTAACCTCATTATCTCACTTCATGACGCTTAGACACCTTAACTCTCCTTTACAGAGGAATCAGCTTCAGCTGTCATAGGCAGAATACCAGCCAAAGGTCATGAGAGTTGTCATAATCTCCCCCTTCCTTTCGCTGTGTCCTTTAACCCTTTTCTTAAACACACACAATATGCATTCATCACTATAGGAAACAGCTCATTTCCATGTGTTTGAATAGCTAGTGTTGTTGATATCTTATCCAGTGACTCACCTTTAAGGGGATTTACTGTACAGTCTGTCACAACATTCACATGAAGCACTGTGGTCGCAGAAGAGAAAATCCTCACATTTCCATTCTGACATTGGTGGGCTTTTTGTCTGACACTGAAAGCTTGTTTGTGTGAGGATTGAGTAGTATAAGTGCTGTTCATGTTGCAAACTGGCCAACAGGACAGCTGCATTTGAGAATGTGCCATTACTTCTTAAAGACAGGGATGCTTCTTTCTTTCTCTAATCTCTTACTCATTCAACACACACACACACACAATTTTGGAGGCATAACAGATGTTATGTATTAGATAAATAATTAATATATAGCTGAAAGACTCTCTTCACTCAACAGCTAAATGTATTCCTTATAGAAGCCTGTGGGTGCAGTCAATGCTGAGAGATTACTTTTTTCATTGTTCAGTCAGCACAAACCCCATGAGGAGATGCTTTAATTCTCTCACGTGGCCTGATAATGGTTTGTTCATTAGCTGTGTATGAACAAAAATGCTGATGTGATAATAATGCTGCACATTGGTACTGGTATGAACAAACCCTAATGGCACCGTTGCCATTGGCTTCGTCACAGATATGCATTCAGGGCTTTGAAAGAAATGTGAGTCTCCTGAATGATGTCATTGTGAGTGCTTGGGTCAGATATATTAATGTTCTTTCACTTTAAAGGAATTTTCAGACACTATTAAAATAAAAATATTATTAATATGTGTAAAAGTTCTCACAGTAAGAAAGAAATCTGTCTAAAAACAGATATTGCCCTGGCAGAAAATTAACTACCATTTCAGTTAAGTTTACTGACATTTCCTTCAGCTATCATACACAACTCAATGAAACATAACTAAAAATAAGGATAAAACTCTTGTGAAAAATCCATGCGGAAAATATCAATTCATATCAACAGTACATTGGTCTTATAGTGTATCTGAAAAATATTTGCTTTGTATTAAATTGACACTGAATCTTTTTCTACCCACCACTAGAGTAATGTTAGAAACCTGAAGCCAAATATACCATTATATAGAATACAATAGTCCTGACTAATCTTATGATATCTTTAGAAGGCATACTAGCATTCAAAAGTTTTGGGTCTGAAAGATATTTTAATGTTTTTGAAAGAAGTGTCTTATACTCACCAATGCTGAATTTATTTGATCTAAAATGCTGTAAAAAAAAAAAAACGGTAATATTGTGAAATATTTTTACAAATTAAAATAACCTTTCTATCTTAATATATTTTAAAATGACCAAGCAGCCATTTGTCCATGCTTCAGTTTTCATTTTTGTCAGCATTCTTTGATGAACACAAAGTTTTCTGAATATATATATATATATATATATATATATATAGAAATCTTTTTGAAACATTATAAATATGTTTACTGTAATTCTTTGTATCAATTTAATGCATCCTTCATTAAAGGATAAATATAGTATTAAAAATAGTATATCTGAATAACAATAGTATATCTTTAAAAAAGAAAAAGCCTAAACCCAAACTTTTGAACTTTTGTATAGATTAAAAGTATGATAATATCAAATTTGTTTAATTAAACGTTATTTATGTGATTTGATATACTTTTATAATGGAAATGTGTTTTGCTTTCTATTTTGCATTTTGTGCTCCGCGTGTGTTGTGGCAAACAAGGACAGACTGGCATTAGTGGCCTTTGTCACCGGTGATCCAAGAAAATTTGGTTGTGTTGGGGCCAGATGGCAGAGGTGATGCTAGGCAGGTTTTGTATTTTGGGAGAGCTGTTGTCCAGGGAGGGATAATCTGACATAGGGCGTGGGTCTGCACAATGTGACGCATTTTACAGGCAGCACAAGGAGTATTCATATTGGTAATTAGTGACCCTGAACCATGAGTGCAGGTTGGCAAAAGAGAGACTATTCAATCATAGATCAGTGTGCCAGCTGAGATAAGCTTAAACACCAGACGGTATTTGTCATAAGTCCATTAATGGTTAAACAGCTTTAAAGGACTGAGTTACTAATTATGAAATATTTTTTGTTATTTCTGTTACTTTAACAGGGAATGTCATTTTTACAGATATTTTAACTTACTCGATTAACTCATTTTCGCTTACTTTATTTCCTGTAGGTGTATTGCTGCAGGAATCAGAAAAAAATTATTTGACAATTCCTCTCCGTTATTCTTGACTGTTTTGTTGTGTGCTTCTATTTGTCAAATTTCTATTAATCAAATCATTCATCTGATAATAACATTTGGATTGATTATGGATTTTCAGTCAGATGGGAAAATGTAAAACATAAAAAAAAAACAGTAATAAAATATGTAAACTATTGTAGTGGCACTTCATTCAGTGTGAGAATAAAGAACCAACACAAAAGCAAACATTTGCAATCATTCAGAGGTTTAAGAAAGCACAGTACAATATTAGTTTAGTCATAGTACCACTCTCCCTGAAAAAATGGGAATTCAAAAAGCATTCATATATTTTCTCTCATTTTGCCACTAACCTGTGCAAGTTTTTATCATCTGATTGTTGGTTTGTTTTTATTCATTTTATTCATTTGTATTATTATTTTTTTTTTTGAAAATCAAATCAATCAAATGGGGAGTTTCAAAAGCAACCTATACAGTTCTGAAATGATCATTCTTAATCATCCACAGACTATCTGGATTTAGAGACTCTCCCAGAGGATTCTGGGTCTGAGGTGGTACCAGAGACGCCCCCCCACAGTCGACCTCAGGAAGATGAAGGGTCAGATCTCACTGAACCCAGCACAGGTAACAAACATACTTCACACAGATAAACACCATAACTATGTGATACTGATTTCGGTCCTTGAACTGTTATCAAGCAGCCAGAATTTGATTTAGGGCCAACTTGGACAACATTTAAATCATCATACAGTAATGTTGTTTTCTGACTTTAGGGATGGTTTATGGTTAGGACATTTAAAACCAAAGCCATCCTAGTTAATACAATTGTTTTTACCTTGGGAACTAACATGTTGGGGTGCTTTCACTCTGATTGTTCAATAGAATTGAGTAATTTTCATTATTTGAAAGCAATTTTAACTCTGGTCCGCTCTTGTTCAGGATGTAAAGTAACATGCACGTGGATATTAGCTGATGACAACATCATTAATTACATCATTAGTAAATCATCAAACCAGTGATGATTTACGTTGGATACAAGCAAGAGTGAGCGTGCAGTGTAATCGTATAGAGTAAGAGCAATCAGAGTGGTAAATGAATGGCTTGCAATCAGATGTCTCCTCAAAAGAGCAGCAGAACACAACGTACATTTATTTTACTGCACAAAATATCCCCAATTACATAAAAAAACAACATCTCAACCCACATTGTTCTTTCTATCATGCTTGCTGTGAACACTTGCCGCAAGATGAACCCAAATCCACTGAGGTTCGATAGGATCTATAAAAACCAGACCAGTCCCACTCAGTTTCAGACCGCAGCAAACGTGCCCAGTGTGAAAGCCCCCTTAGATTGTACATTAGTACACTCTTGCACAGCACAAGTCTCTTGTGGAGAACACAGTCCACTCACAATTCAGAAAACGAATGCAAGAATTGTAACTACTGTATCAGGTCAGAAATTAAACCATGAAGAAGGAAACCAAAGCTTGAAGGGATTGTTGATGCTGATGCAAACATCTGAAACACACTCATACTAACTATACTTGACCACAGTGCCTAAACATTAGAGGAGGATCAAAGAATTGAGTTTGCAGACATAGTTGCGTGAATAATTCAGAGTCGATTGTGGCGCTTTAATTGCACTGCACCTTCCT